GGGGGGATACAGACAACAAAATAGAGACATATACTAAAAATAGTAAGCAACATACATTCATCATTCGGGAGGGGCAATTCGGGGATTTACAGAGGAGCACATTGTTCCGAAATCTCTTCCTCACCTTTTTAATTTTATTTATTTTATTCTTGTTTGTAACTGTTATAATAATGTTTGTATATAGCTTTTTTGTTTTTATGTCTATTTGTATACTGCCCAGAATCAGTGAGATGGATGGATGGATGATTTTTTTTTAAAGAGTGAATTATTTTAATATTGGATACAAAGCAGTATTGCAGAAGATTTCTGATAGTTACAAGAGTATTATTGTTTTCTTGTATGCTATTTTGGGCTTAGTTTAAAGTTTCTAATCTTCCTTTATTTAGCCTCTGTTAGGTAATTATTTGCAAAAGTGTTCTTAAACTATTGCATTTAATAGCTGAATTGATGGATTGCCAAGAGTTTTAATAATAAAGGTAACACATAAGATCCTAGTTTATTAAATATGTAGTCCCATAATGATATCCTAAATTATTCTGAAAATTGTTTGACCCCATTGGAACAGATATTTGAGAGCTATTGAGTGAGGGGCTGTAGAGAAATTGGGAAAGTAGTAAAGCCCTGCTCTATAAAATTTATTCAATTAACAGCACAATAATGAAGACCTTAGCCTTTGCTTTTATGCTAACTTTGTTCTTTTGTAATCTTTACATGGTATCATAGTAAATCTGACTAATATTATAATACAAGTAGTTTAACAAATGTTCATTCAGCAAGTCATGACAGTGCTGAAAAAGAAGATTTATAACTGATCCTTGAACTTATGGCCATTTCAGCTTCCCTCCAATCATGTGATAGCAATTTGGGACATTAGCAACCAATGCATTTTTGTACGGTTGCAGTGTCCCATGGTCATTTGTTCACCATTTACATCAGAAGCCAGCTTCTGATAAACCAAGTTAGTGGGAAAATGGCAGGAAGTTGGAAGTCACAGTCATGTAACGCTGTAGTTAATGTCTATGGATGATTTACTTAATGACTGCAGCCGGAACTGATATCATAAGTCAGGCACTGAAACATGATGTTTCACTTTAGGATAGATTTGTCAATCTAATACATCACTAACTTAATTAGAATGAAGATTTGTATCCTGGTCATTATATTCCTCCAGGTTATAAATATGATTTAGGAATAACCCAGGGTTGTAGACTTCACCAAGTCTTTGCTATTTTAAGGCTTGAGTTATATGTTCAATGTTGATTTTATGCTGCTGGTTTATTTTTGTTTTTAATCCTGTATTAGCCACCCACAGTTGCAGTTTGCAAGTTGGGTAGCCATATTTATTTATTTATTTCCCACTTTTATTATTTTTACAAATAACTAAAGGCAGCAAACTTATCCAACACACCTTCCTCCTTTCCTCCACAACAACAACCTTGCAAAGTGAGTTGGACGGAAAGAGAGTGAACGGTCCAAAGCCACCCAGCTGGCTTTCATAACTAAGATTAGACTAGAGCTCACGGTCTCCCAGTTTCTAACCTGGTGCCTTAACCCAAATACATTATATATGATAGTTAAAAGCATATTTTGTTTAGCTTGCTTATTCAGTATGGTTAGTCAATTGTTTAATTTATCTTGGATTGCCATCTAGTGATGATTTGTCATATTACAATAATTGCTGTAATAGTATACTATATACAATCTTAATTTTCCTGAAGTTTCCAGAATAGAGAAATACAGAAGTTACCTTATGGCCCTGCGTATTACTTCTTTGGGGTGAATTTCTCTATTTTTATGCAGCGCGTATCCAGTGTAGTGTTTTCAGTTTCACTGAATACCAGGAGGTAGGCAGTATGTCTGACAAATTCCAAACAGAAGTGGTCACATAGTACCAGCTGGCTTTGAACAAGCAAAGTCAAAGGGGGAAGCTGTATTTGCTTAATGACGATGTTATTCCCTTAACTGCAGTGGTTTGCTTAACAACCATGAAAGTTATAAAATTAGGCAGGACTCATTTGACAACCTGCCTTGTTTAGCAATGGAAATTTTGATCCCAATTGTGATTGTAAGTCAAGGACTACCTGCACTTTAAAAAGTCACAGCAGGGTTACTGAGTTCAAAATCTTAGGGAAGACTTTTCTTAACACCAAAGCATTGATGTGTCATTTTCATGTTAGAAAACTGCTTGATAACTGGGTATGGTTTTTTGTTTGTTTTCAGTTATAATGAATAAATACCAGGAGCAGCCTCATCTTTTGGACCCTCATTTAGGTAAATATCGAGATTCTGTAATTTTTTGATAAAATCATCCTTTTTATTAGGATGGATGATACTGATTTTTCTTTTTCTTCTTAATGGTAGAAGATTTTTTTCTAATCCAGTGTTTGGGACTTCTCTGTCTAGAATACACTGCCTCTGAAAGCAGCTTTACTGAAAGAAATTGATCCACCTCCAGTTTCATATCATTAACTTGATTACTGTAACACGCTTTACTTGGGGCTGCCCCTGAAGAGTGTTCGGAGACTACAATTGGTCCAGAATGCGGCTGCGCGAGCGATACTGGGTGTACCTAGGTACACCCA